TGCAGGTCTTGCACCTAGTGGCTTGAAAATCACGCTGCGTGTATATGTGTGCATGCCCCAAATCCTGCGAGGATAATGGAGAAGAGATTGTGGCATGGCCATCTTCCCGGGAGGTAATTTCTGACTTTTCCTCTCTCTCTGCTTCTACCCTTATGTAAACGCATGTGTCCTAAGGCAAAAACCTCTAAAAAAAAAAAGGTGACTAAGGCTGCATGGGAGTTTGTTCCAGCTTTAAGACCCTGCCCAACCTAAATAGGCATGACTTACAAACAAGTGTCTGGTTCTGGCTAACTGGGGTGGGAAGATCAGGAGATGGTGAGACCCTGTCAAAAATACCTACTTCTTTATCAATCTCCTTGTCATTAATAATCATAATACTAAAAAGTACGACAGAAATATTTTAAAAGAATGCAGAGGCAAGAAGATGGTGCATATTAAATACAATGCTCTGTGAGGTAGCCCCACCTGGGAAGGTTCCCAGTTCGAATCCAGAGACCTCTATGAACATACCAAGCACATGCCTGCCATGATCTGGGCCTGGCTAAGGGTTAGGGAGGACAGCAACATGGAAACCTTGTTGAGAAACTCTCTCTTGCTTACTAACTCAGGGAAGAAATAAACAAACCTTGAACTTAAAAATGCAATTTTGAGAATTTTTCATAATAGGACAATTAGTAATGTATTTCCTTCTAGGTGCTGAGCCAGGCAGAATAGTTCAATACCTGCTGAAATAAATATTAATTTTTCTTCCTCATACTGGAAATATTTTCTGGTAAGTCCTTACATACCGGGTCTTCCGGATTATACTGAATGACATATTCTATCTGTCCGTTTGGGCCATCATCAATATCTGTAGCTCCATTGTCCCCTGAAAATCCTGTAAATATTGTGGTGCCAACTGGAGTGAGCTGAAAGGAAAAAAGAAAAACTGTCAGTTCTTATTTCACCTGTTTCATGCTGGAAGTGTTCCAGCACAAAAATCAACCCTTGATTAGACCAAAAAAAAAAAAAAAAAAAAAAAAAAAAAAACCCACAGCAGACAGCTGCCCCCAGCCACAAACCTGAAGCATTTCAAAAGAACACTTCCGAACCTTAAATAGGAGTTCTTATGCTGTGTGGCATCAAGATCCTTGCTTGGGTAAAGAAAGATAAGGCTCTGATTCAGGATGAAGCGCATCTCGAGTAATTTCATCTGAATGCCCATAGGGAAAATGCATCTGTTCCTCCTTAAAAAACATCTATGAGCTATTATTTACAAGCTGGAATTTAAATTGCTCAAGGAATCCATTTTATTTTAAAATCAATCATTCTGGAGAGGAGACAATGACAAAGAGGAGAAAGCTAGAGGTTTCTTCAGTGTTTGTAACAGTAGGTTTCTTTCTACTAAAGCTGTCGTGTAACAGTAGCTGGTGAAATGGCCACATCTTTTCATTTTGGATTGGAACAACAGCAAAATGCAATGAGGCATATAAAACCATGATTTGAAATTCAGACTAAATAGCTAACCTTATTTTTCACTCATCTCCATCAGAGATTCACTGTTACTTTCTCTCACCTACAGGCCTTTGTACAATGTATGAATAGTCTTCAAAATATTCATGGAAAATCAAATGATGAAAAATACTGTGCATGATTTTTAAAAAAATTTGAACCAGAATAACCTTGTACTTTAATTTCATTTATCCACACATTTTAAAGAGATTTTTGCTATAAGGCATTTGTGCTCTCTGGAGAGAGAGAGAGAGAGAGAGAGAGTGAGAGGGAAAGTAAGAAATCACCCCCCAGGGGGGGATGGTCACTCAGCAATCCCTTCTCCTCCATTCTGCTCCTGAGATTTTGGGTCCAGGCTCCTGGCATGATATTTAAGCCACCAGGTTTAGGACCCAAACCATGGTTGGCCATGTGGGAGTTCAACACCTTAACCACTACACCACCTTCTGGTTTCTATCCACAAACTTTTTGAAATTTCCTTGTACTCTATATTTAGAGTATTCTTCTCAAACCTCCCTTTCCAGTCCTCAAGATCTAATTGAACCCTACTCATTAAGTTTCAAGTTAATTAAAAATTCAGATAGGAGAAAGAACCCTAAGAATACAACATGACATTGGCTAGATGTGGAGTGTGAAGTGTGACCTATATATGCGGGGCGTCTATACACACAAATGAAGAACTTGGGTTGGCCATGCAGTGTGGCTGTTAAGGCAGCCAGATCCCACATGGCTAACTACATGGTTTGAGTCCTGGACCCAAGGGCGTAGGAAATGTGCTGGGTCTGTCTGCTGTGCTCCCGCAATTTTGAAGGGAGAGATAATAGAGGGGAAGGGATTATGATGTAAGCATTCCTCGTGGGGATGCTTCTCCTTCTCTTTTCTCTCTTTCTCTGATGAGCATACACATCCACTAGTCCAAAAAAATAAATAAATAAAAATAAAAAAATAAAACAAACAAAAAACTATCCTGGCATTTGAAACCCAGAATCTAGATATAAATGAACCCACTCTGATTATTTGGTATAAGTAATAGAATGGCAATTTTTTATAAGAACTGCTGTTAGTCAAGGAAAAAGTAGAACATAATCAATAAATCTCAAAAACATTTTTTAGTTTCTCCTTTCTTATTCAAGATTAGAGTTCTAGGCCAACTACAGTCATGCAGATGGCAGTGTGCCACAGTCCCACACTGGTGCCAGATGGGAGGCCCAAGGTTTGATCATAGTTTGACCTAAATGCACAGTGTCTCTGGGTGTGTCCATGTCTGCCATGATCCTACGGTCTGGTAGAAAGGTCGTGGCATGGTCCCTGTCAAGGGCATGTGTCTTTGTCTCTATCTCATGATAATTTTTTAAATTTATTTATCTATTTTAATTTAGAGGGTGCATGCACTCGCTAGAGAGAGACAGAAACAGAAACACATAGAGGGAGAACGCTCCCCCCGATAGGGTGTGATCATGCCGTAATCCCTTTTTCTCAACTTCTCCAGCTTGTTGGGATCTTGAGCATTCATGCACATGCCACTGACCTGTTATCAAACTCACCAGCATTGGGATTCAAACTCCTGCTGCCTACGTGTGACCCAGCTCCCTTAACTACTAGGCTATAGGTCTGGCCCATATTTTTTAAATTACTTTTTTAAATGTATTTTTCATAGAACTCATTGCTAGAGAGAGACAGAGAGAGAGACAGTGAGAAGGAAAGTGAGAGATCACTCCCTAACGGGATGGTCACAATGAAATCCCTTCTCATCCTGGGATTTTGGACATTCACACACATTTGCCCAGTGTGATTTGCAAGCCACTAGGTCCATACTCAGCAGTAATCAACCATTTGGGAGTGGGCTTAACCACCATGCACCCTGTTGGTCCAGTGTGTGTGTGTGTGTGTGTGTGTGTGTGTATGTACATATATATGTGTAAATATTTTTTATTTTTAACTAATTAATTTTACAGTCATTATTCACTGAGCATTGTCATAGCATACACAATGTGATTTCCCATCCAGAATATACTGCATAGTGGCTTAATCATACATGTAATCATTGATAACTTTCCATTTCTAGTTTCATATATATATTTATTTACATACACATATACACATATATATGTATATTTTTTCCTCCTATTTTTCACCCTCTGCCATTTCCCATCCTCATCCCACATTATCTGTGGTGTCTACAGTTGCTTCCCATTCCTTCCCCCCCCACACACTTTATTGATTCACAAAATATCTTAAGTAATCTAAGTACTTGCAATAGCAAGTTCAGCTGGTATATACATATCTGTGGATACATGTCTGACTTTAGGCATGAAACTCTGAGTAGAATGAATATACTATAAAGTAGCACCTAGCTGATGCTATATAACTTACTACAGTCATTAAGTAGGTATTTTTTAATATCAAGAAAAGCAGTTTTAGCTTTAATAAATCAAAATACGATAAATGCTAAGACAGCTTTGCTTAAAACTTAAAGCCAGAAACAGGTTAGAATGCTGTTCAAATAGAAGGTACATGAACCTACTGGCCCCTCAAGACAAGACAAAAATCCTTAAATCCAGAAAACCAAGCCTAGAAGAAAATCAGTAATGGTTTAGTCAAAGTCATAAGATTCTATTTCACCAGTTCAGTCTCATGTACTTAATCTATCTTCTGCTGTGATCCAGCCTTCTTAATTTAATTCTCAGATATCATATTCCATTCCAGATTTGTCCCTCCAAGTGTAGTGGTATTTATAACTAATTGATCACAGCCAGTTACAGATTCCTTTGTTCCAAAATATAATTTTTAAGAATCTGCTTTCTAGGGAACCAGCAGTTAGTGTAATGGCTATGTCACTGGACTCCCACGTAGTCGACTGCAGTTCGCGTCCCGGACCCGGTGGTTTAGCACTCACGCCGGGCATGTGTGCGTGCATGCCCAAGATCCTGAGAGGAGAATGGAGGAGAAGGGATTGCAGTGTGACCATTCCTCCTGGGGGATGATTTCTCGCTTTCTGTCTCTATTCTCTCTCTGTCTGGTGAGCGCACGTGCCCTATAGCAAAAACCTCTCCAAAAAAAAAAAAATAGAATCTGCTTTCTAGAAGAAAATATTTGGATGATAGAAATTTGTTGGAATATATGGTTTGAAGGATTTTACTTTTTACAGTGTAATATTTACAAATCCAAAGACATACTTGTAAACTTAAATACCCAAATTATGAAAACAATCTGTATTTTTTCTAGTTCTCTATTTTCTGAAATTAATAGAAGGCAACATTAAATTCTATAATGCCTTAATATACTACCATCAATTTGTGTTTTTCTTCATCACTCACATGCCTTGAAATCACATTTATAAACAGGCATAATTTCTGATATCCCATCCTTGAACATGAACCCTATATCATATTTCCTTGATTCCCATTAAACAAATACACTTGGCAATAAACTCCACCAAGATTGATAACAGAATTCTGGAAAAGAACTAGCTATGTCTTCACTCATGGCTTCAGTAAACAGTTAATCCAGAGTAATTTCATTTCAGCTGCTGTCATTTCAGAATTTGATCTCATTTGGGGGTGTCACACAGTATTTTTCCCAATAGAAGTTGTACATCCATGTATATTTTTATTATTCTTACAAATTGCAAGTAGGCAATGATTCTATAATAAATTTTAGTAGTTGATGTTTTTAAATAGAAAGTAAAAGGTAATGATTGCTTAACTACAGAAATAGAGAAGACAAGTTTATAATTTCTGTAACTATCATACAGAAGTTATCAAATAGAATTTTAAGCTCTTTAAAGGGGATTTTAAGTCTATTGGAAACTAAATGGAAAGCATTAGTGTACCAGAAATAGATTTCAGCATCTTATTTCCTTATTTATTTATATGCTTTTTTTGGCTAGAGGGTATGTGCACTAGCCAGAGACAGAGTAAGAAGACAGAGAGAGAGGGAGAGAGAGAGAAGAAAGCACCCCCCACAAGGAGTGGTCGCACTGCATCCTCTTCTTCATCACTCCCTCCCTTTGGGATGGTGGGTACACATGGAAACACGCCTAGGGTATTTTTTCCAGCAGCTGAATCTGGGATTTGAACTGCTGGTTCATTCACATGGAATCTGGGTACCTTAATCCCCATGCCATGGAGCCAACACTCAGCATCCTCTTTCATTCATGGTGCTATCTCTGTTTACAATTTCAGTAAAAAAACTGAAGACATACATCCCTGCAACTCTGAAAACGTGGTGTTTAGTTACTAACAGGGGAAGATGGGGAGACTCAGGCAGTGTGCCGAGTTATCTGCTCAGTATTTGCCTACACCAGTGAGTTTACTCTCTTCTTTAGTTGTATATTTAGGCCAAAAAGCACAGATTGTTCCTGTTCATTTCTGCTACTAGAATATGCAAACTAGAATATGCACACACAGACATAAAT